ACAGCCAGTGTAATCTGGCCAATCCACAAACAAGCAGCATGTTGCTTATGAGCCACAGGGGGCAGAAGCCATGTTTATGCCAATGGTCAGGGGAGACTCACAGGACTGGTTGATGGTGTTTGAAATGCAAAAAGTAACTGGAAGACCATTTTGCTACCATCAGTATAACATCATGTGTAAAAGGACACAGTGAAGACATGATTACACAGATTTAAACAAGTCCAAATGTGTGGACAGGGTTGGGTTCCTACACACCTCAAAAGAAGCATATGAAAATCAATACAGTGTTACTGGAGTGTCTAGGTTTCCTCTGACAAATGAACAGTCAGAAATGCAGTGTGGGGCAGGGCACGACTGAGGAGTCACAGCCCTGGGAGAAGGCAGGAGGAGAGAGGCAGGCACTTCCTCTATTGACTCTGTCTGTAGTGTTGCTCCACATCACTGTTGCACACTAAGTTGTCAATGCAAGCAGATACTGTGTCTGGGTGTCTAGCAGAACAACAGCCCTGAAGGCATCACTATTGTGACTCTGCTGGTCACATCATATCATATTAAACCGAACGGTACCTGAATCAGACGTTTGTGTAAATCACCACAGTGGGAGGTCACTCAACAACAAAGTGCAGGCACTAGAAATCACTATGAGAAGAGAAGAAAAAAAATCCTCATCATGTACCAGCCTAGAATCTCTGCAGTTGCAGCTATAACAGCATGACCACTGGCTAGTGAAGTCAAGAACAATGATTATCTGTGTATCAGGGCACCTGTTAGTGGGTGGTAAATATGAGGATTTCAGCAAGTGTGGCAAGGGCCTAACTGTGATTGGTAGATTGGCACAGAGCCTCTCTAAAACTGCAGAGCCTGAGAAGAAGAAGAAGAAGAAGAAGAAGGAAAAGCACTGAACCTGTAACAGGGTTGTGAAGCTCTTTGATATACGTCGAGGGCAGGTCAAATATTTATATATAAATATGTATATGTTACAGACATAGATATAGAAACTGCCAGCAAAGATCAGCAGTGATGGCCAAACTGGGTTAGTCATTCATATGATCCTTTTGAGAACTTAAGAATGGAAATTTGTTTTGGCCTTGTGCCCGTTAGATTAAAGTTTCATCAAAAGCCTGCTGTTCTGGTCTTACTGCCTCGTTCATCAGCAGTTGAATCTTATCTTTAAATTAGAATTTACTTCAAAAGATGTTCCTTTGGGGAAGTCGTTAGACAGAGAATATGATATTCAGCGGTTTAGCTTCAGTTCAGGGGAAACACTGCATTTTGTGTATAAATCACACAATTTTGGAGGCGCAAGGTATGTGGTTCCTCAGGGAATCGAAACCATGACTGACTGCTCGCAAGGCAGACGTGCTTTCTGGTTACTCCACAGGATATTTCCCCCACATTAGAGCAGTGATACAGTGCTGACTCAGCCTCTTTTTGGTCTGTTTCTTCTCATTTTTCATTGTTTGCGGAACCTAAATTAAAACCACTGACACACCGCTGCAGCCAAAGCTGTGATGATAATGGTCAGGGGAACAGCGTTTATCTGGGACACTAAGTTCGACTGATGGCCTTTTCCCCTGGCAGGGCTAATAACTCACTGGGCTTATCAAAACACCGGGGGGCTACCTCCGCCCCACCGACCGCCTCACACACACACATGTGAGTACACACATGAGACAGAGTAAAACACCTTGATCTGAAGGTCTTTTAGGGCTTACAGGGTGATAATTCACTCTCACTGTGCATCCCCATTTGCCCCACTGCTGTAATATGATCACAAGGCCACGTCTGAGCTGTTTAGCGGAGAGATAAAGCAGCAGTGAGCTGATGTGCCGAGACATTTGAGGACAAGCATTTAGATTTCTTTACTTTTATATCTCAACCATTTGCATTTCCGGCACCACTTCATGGAGCCGCTCCTATATTTGCTCAGTCGTTCTCCTCAATCCTTATAATTACCCCGTCATCTGTGCATTCATTTAACTGCTCCATTCAACCCACTTTCAGCCCACCGTCGTGCTCTCCGCAGTTTCAGTGCTTCCGTTAAAACACGTCTGTACAGTCACTCAGATCGCGTCTTGATCGCGCCACAGATGAGTTTCTTTATCATTTCCTCTGAGCCACAGCCCTGTCTCTGTATCTGCCTACCTATGAAGTCGTTGCTCAGTCCCAAGTCATAATCCCACACAGAGATCTCCAGGGTTTTCTTCGCCAGCTGGTCCAGTGATACGTCATATGAAAACTCCTGTGCAGGTGACATGTAATAATTTACATGATTTACACAATTATTCACTATCACAGAAAACACACACACACAAGTGACAGTAAATGTGTTTCTAATTGTAGTACAAAATTTCAAAACAAACATTTTACAGAGACTTCACGTCTTAACAATAGCAGCCTGATTTATCGCGGTGCCCTGCCGTGCAGGAAGTCTATTAGACTTCAGTGGAGAAACAAAAGAAGACTTCACGTGTATTGTGGTTATTTTTGGAGACATGCTTACCTCATTAAACTCAGGGTTGAGAGTCTTTTTCTTCACTGTCGTCTTGTACTTGGACTTTTTCCCCATATCTGGCTGCAAGATTCTGTGAAAGAGAGGAAGACAGAAGCAAAGGTTACGTTGAAATCAGATCATTATTCCCCCGTACAACACAGAGGTTGACATTTTGGTAAATTAGGTTAATTGAAGTCTCTGCAGCAACAACTGCAAATGAAGCAATTAGCTGGTGATTAAGACAGAGGAACCACCTCAAACTTTGTTTTAGTTTCAGGTGAAACTGAAATGTCACCTAATTTACCTTCAAGTCCAACACTGCCGTTATAATCAATCACCTGGATACACCTCTCATCTAAATACCAAACACAGTGTTGACTATTTTTTAGCCTCATTAGTCGGAGTTGGAGTTGTTATAATTTTGACAAAGGACACAGTTTGTCAAAGTCTCTGATCAGCGTCAGTTTAGACACATGACCCCGGTGAACCCATCCTTTACTTACAGCAGTGACAGCACAACGACACAAAGTGCTGTTATCATCGCC